ACTCGAGGTTTGGCACCTTGTGGTACCATTGATTCTGTCGGATTGATCAACGAGTATTTGGATGTATTTGGGGGTTTACTGATGGATTTTTGAGTGAACACGGTCTGTTTTTTGCGGGAGATTCTCATAAAACCTCTCTGCTTTGCAAATCACACAGGCTCCTAACACGGTCATGGCAATTACTTCGCTCTGGCGGGTTGATCCTTTCTTTTTTGGACACAAGCGGAAACTCGAGAAGCGTCAGCAGCGCATGTTTGTATATCAAAAATGGTGATAATGATGATAATGTTTATTGTTATAATGGTTATCATATATAGTTAATATTGTTAATGGTATAATATTAATGGTTCGTTAAATGAATTCTTAATGGCATTACCCTTTTTAATGGTGACTATTCTTAGTATCATTGTGGTTTTTCATTGTTTTTATTATTTATTATTCATGATTGGTTGATCAATTCACAAAAATATTTACTGATGGTATATCATGAATCCGTCATGGGGGATGGTTCGTAATTCACTATGATTCCATGATTGCTAATCACCATAACATTAAATTATACCGTTTACAAATGTTGATTAATAACCATAACTTAAGGATACTTAAGGTATTTTATATTTTCTGGTTATTTCTCATTGATTTGATTCATGGTTACTATTATTTTGCATTTTTGATAGTCATTATTCTACACCATATGATGGTATATCATCACTATATGACAGATATAATTATATATATATTACTATGTACAGGAATAATATGTATAATTATATCTATACCATATATTACTTCATATACATATTCATCATTATTGTATTATCAGGAATCCATAGATATGATTCGGTTCCTTCATCACTCTCAGTCTTTCAGGTCGCCCTGAGAATGACTTGCACTATTTCGATGTTGAGGCGTCGCCTCCGGCTCCTTGTTTCGCTGGGCTGCTTGGTGCGGCAGTGACCATGGGATTTTTCACACCACCTAACTGTTGTGTTTTTATGGGGAAGAGTTCTTGGAGGGTTTGATCATTGGTTATGGTCAAAAGATGTCAAAAACATATTCATTTTCACCTCCAGTGGTTTTTTGCGGCTGTTTCTAAGTTCCTCCTGTGAAACTTGAGGTTTGTGAGCAGTTCGGCTTTCCACCAACGGTATTTTTCAACTCCAGATTTGTTGGAAGACATTTGCTTTGTTCAGACCAATCATTTCCAGAATTCCGACGTGTGCCAACAAAACCTGTAGCGTCAACATCCACACGCAGTGACTTGGTGCAGACGGAGGAACCATTTTTCAGATCACCGACAGCTGGTCTACAATCTCCTTGTCTGCTGTACACTAGATTAACCCTCAGCGACATCCATTGATCGTTTCTTGCATGTTGATTTGGCCTTTGTTCTGCTAAACATTTTTTTTAGTATAATCAATATGGTTGTATGATGACTAATCGATGGTTCTTGTTATAATCATTTTTTCTGACAATAACCACAGATTGACCATGATATAACCATCATATAACCATCATATAGCTATCATAGATAAGATCATGGGCTATAAGAATAGCCATGGCCATGTCATGGTTATAACATGTTATAACCTCCAGTTTTTCAGCTTGCCATGCCAGACATCGCCAGGCCAATGGGCCAATCAAAAGGCAGTCGCGGCCCCAGATGCATGGTGATTGAGCCATGGTCAGGCCATGGTCGGTTCACATCAGTTCACTGGGTAGCCGTTATGACCGTTATGACCGTTATGAATCATGACATGAAAGGGGATGGTCATCCAATGGTTAACGGTGGGATTTATATAAATTTATAATAACCATTTTGGGGTGCCTAGTATGGGTGGGAAGACCAGCTCGCCACTATGGGGAGTTTTGAGGCACATATGGGTATTTCCATCAATGGCTAATCATCCACCAAAAAGGACGATTTTATGAGGTAAATCAATGGTGGGTACCCCCATTTTAGAATACCCATGTATAATCATGTATATATATATAATTATATATATATATTTATTGGGATATACCAGATATATACCATTATCATCCATTATCCCAATGTTGGTATATTATATACATACCATTATATTGTATGGTATACCCACATTGGGATAATACGAATGCTAAATCATTGCCGCCCAGTTCCAAGGTATTAACGGTCGTAGTGACGACAAGAATGAGTTGCGCTACTTCGATGTGGAGGCAATGCTGTCAGCATCGTTTGATGGGCACAATCTCATCATAGTAAGCCTTTATATATCATTGAGCACCCATTCTATATGGGATTTTCATGAATTTACCATAATTCATCATTGGTGTAAAACAAGGTAACGTCGTCCATTGCGGTCCCGCTGTGTTTGTTTGTTTTGAAAACAAGCATCTTGCTATTTCGATAACCCTTATGGCACTTTCTGTCACCATGGATTTTGCGCCATGTTCAAATGCCTTGCGTTTTACAGCACTTTGTGTCCATTTTGTGCTATTTCCAATGGGTTTTACAAGTCCATGTGCAAATCAGCGAAAAAAAAAACGCTTGGAAGCCAGCAATATGTTAGAATCGTGTTGCATACATGATAGACCAGACATAGACACATACCTTGCATACTTGGACATGTACACTGATTCTTATATACATATATGCAAGTATATATACATATATTTATATATCCATATATATATATATATGTGTAACCTGACACAAACAGGCATGCACACACACACATATATATATATATATATGTACATATTCATCCCAACCCCACCCCACCCCAACCCCAACGGGCAGCGTAACATCATCAGCGTACCATGAACGTTAACATCCCACCCCACCCCACCCCAACCCCAACGGGCAGCGTAACATCATCAGCGTACCATGAACGTTAACATCCCACCCCACCCCACCCCAACCCCAACGGGCAGCGTAACATCATCAGCGTACCATGAACGTTAACATCCCACCCCACCCCACCCCAACCCCAACGGGCAGCGTAACAACATCATCATCAGCGTACCATGAACGTTAACATCCTACCCCACCCCAACCCATGTTTGTTAAAAACTAGCAAATTCCCCGGGGCCGTATTGGACGACATCAGCTAAAACAACTATTAGTATAAACCACTAGTACACACCAAATAAGGATCCTTATTATATATATATATTTTGGATCATATCCTTATTATCAACCTTATTTACACACATATATGTATATATATATATACATTTATATATATATATACATTATATAATATATACATTATACATATATACATTATATATATATATACACTTTATATATAATACATATAATGTATATATAATATATATATAATATATAAATACATTATATATGTATATATCTATATTATATATATATATATATATTGTATAAGGATGGTAAACCAAAAAAAAACAACCATCTTACTTTCCAATAGTTCAGGCACAGATCTGGCACCGGGTAGAGGCCGGCAATGCTCCATCCCAACGGAGTGGCCACAGTGCCGTGCTGGACGCCCAGCAGCGGATGTGACATCCGCTGCTGGGCGTCCAGCACGGCACTGTGGGTCTGCGGAGGCAAAACTTACTCCAGCCGCGGCCCCAGAGACAACTGTGGCACAGTCTTAGGTATAATGATGGTATAATCATAGTATAAGGTTAGTATATAATATTGGTACATATTATGATCAGAACAATGATAGTTAACGGTATAAGGATAATGATGGTATAATGATGGTATAATGATGGTTAACCAATGGTATAAGGATAGTATATATTATTGGTATATATTATGGTCATAATAATGATAATGATACTAGTGATAATACGAATGATAATAGTAGTGAATATAGCCCTGATTTACAATGGTCACTTGATGGGATGGTGGCTATGGTGTAAACCCCATTACACCAAGCTGTTGGTTTTAAGGTCGCCTCCTGAATGACTTGCACTACTTTGATGTCAAGGCATTGGGGGCAACGAATCGTTTGGTCAAAAGATATGTGGCCCGGATGAGGATTGATTTTGGTCACAGATTCGAGGAGCGTGTTGGGCTTGGAATTGCAAACTTCGCTGTTGGGGTTCATGGACTTAAATTGTGGCGGCTGCTGAGAAGCTTTGGGGATTGTTGTTTTTCCACCCAAAAGTAGTTGAAGAAGCATGTCAAGGCTTCCAAAACATGCCAGACGCACGAAATCGTGCAGATTTCTAACATGTTTTGTCCATCCTGTTGATTTGATATTTTTCCAACTTCTCGTGACTTGGTCGTGCCCCAGCACCATTACTTGTTCCTTGCAGCAACGTCAGGCTGGAGCTTGGCAGCCAGTCACTGCTGACAATGTCCCAGCTGCCCGGCACGGCCACACTGCGGTGCTGGACGCCAAGCAGCGGATGTGGGTCTTCGGTGGTTCGAACGGCGCCCCGGAAGTTAAAGCAGCACGTTGTGGTGCACATATTTCCATGGGATATAGGGTAAGTGAACATCCCAATAGAGGCTATTCCTTTTATTTGGATATACCGATATACCATACATATACCATGATCCCAATCTTGGTATAATATTAGCATTATACCATATACCCCTGAGGATCAAATGTTGGCTCTATTTGCTGACATTTGCGGAATACCTTGTTTTCTGACGTCCATAGGCCTTATTTGATGTCCGTAGCCAAATTTTGACTACATTTGCGGGAAACATATTTTCCGGTAAATTTGCTAGAACTTAAGGGCCCCTGCGTTCACCAAAAATTGCAATTAATTATAGACATAACACTTCATCCAAACAACATTTATTTACTCCCTGGTAATTTGGGGGTGCACCCTATCCCATCTGCAGCTGACCTCCCTGCGGCTCTTTCCCATGGAGCCCCACATCGGCATCCGAAGCTCGGGTGGAGAGAGTTGGAACTGGTCTCAGGGAGTTGGTGTTGTTCACCTTCTGTATTTTTTCTGGTAGTTTTGTGGTATGTGTATGTATATTATATATATAATTGATCAAACGGGTTTCCCTAAGATGGTTGCCAGCTTGCCAACCTCAGAAGAAACCGACACAACACCCTATATTCCATTAGGTCACCTTTGGTGACGCGTTCCGCCAACTTCTTGAGAACCCCTACATTGTCCTCATCTTTGAATGTGTGAACGTATCGATAGTTCACTCTCATTGACAACATATCTTCATTGACATGTCGAAAGGGATGGTGCTTTGGAAGCAACTTCCATCTTCCACAATTGTGGATGATGGAAAAGTACCCCAACTTCTGGTACAGCGTCAAGAAAGTAAAACCAAATTTGGAAATGTCCTTGGCCTCAATCTCGGTGAGGTATCTCCCATACCGTGCTAAACGGTCGAACCAGCAAACCATCGCCCGCGAAGCCAAAGAGGCCAACTCAGTTTCCTCCTCTGGGTATTGCTGAAACAAGATACTGGCACATGAATCTAGAAAAGTCAGTAGGACCTGACCATTCCAGGCTTTGCATGTCAGAGCAGGGAACCCGTCGGTCATGTGCAACATCCCCACAGTGATGTATCCCTGCGAATGCCTCACCACATGAAGCATTTTGCTTCTCCAAAAAAAAATATATTGTGGGACCCCAAACCAAGAAAAAGAGCTATATGACTATATGGCTCAAAATTTGTGTTTGGTTACCAAACATATATTAGAAGTAGTTCCCGGGCAAACCGGGGGCAGAAGCTTCAAAATTTAAACGCTTATAGCCTATAGAGCGGAGCACAGACTGTGCCTATAGGTTGCTGCCGGGCATTCTGTGGTTCGCAGCAACAAGCTTTTGACTTGTGATTGGGTTAGGGTTGATGTTTATTTTGAGCCATATGGCATTGCAAAGTAACTCAAGTGTAGTTAGAGTGACTGAAATTGGTGGACGCGAGCCCAAGAACGAAAGCGCGAGGACAATTCTCTAAGTTGATCTTCCAACTTGCCACCGCCAAAGAATCCTGGGATGTTTGAAGACTTTCGCTAACATTATGTGGCATTTCGAACAAAAGACAACATTCAAAATGGGTTCCCTTTGAGTAAGATCAACCATATAGGTAGCAAACCAGTTGGGAAATTAAAGTAGCGGCCAATGGAAACACAGTGCAAGTGAAATATGCAAATCAGTATGCTACCCCTCAGCAAACAAATCACTATCCAAGGGTCCTTTCTCACAGAGAAGGCTGGTCAAGCTACCATTCAATGTTTGCAGTATTCCAAGGTTGCACACATGCATCGTACAGAACCGGAGCTGACGCGGTTCAAATCCCGGCAAGGCTAAAATAGGGTGGGGCCACCTGCACATGCATTGCCCCAACGAAGTCATGTTTTAGCACTTACATTGAACGCATGTTTAAATATCAGTCTTGCTTTTGGGGGAAGGAACATTAATTATGTCAAGATCGATTTTTGCATTCATAAGTATATACATATGTATATATATATATGCACCCTTGTATGTATATATTATATATATATATATATATATGTGTGTGTGTGTGTACGTGTGTGTGATGAAAACCACACCTGAAACATGACGCCATCGCATTGGCCCATGATCTTCTTGGGAAGGTACGGTCGAGCTGTGTCCACCTAACTCATGTGGCTGATCCAAGTTGAAAAAATATCTAAAATTTGGTGACCTAACAGGATCCCAACATACTTTGAAAAAAGTTGCCAATACTGAACATTGAGATGCCTGTTTCTTCGTACAGGGTCAGAAGGATTTCGGGCAGTGCACAAATGACAACAATCCTTTGCCGTCCAGTGGCATTTCAACGCGAAAGCTTCCCTTTGGAATTTCCAATCCCCTCGCAGTTCAACTAATGCTGCCCGACCACCTGAGGAGAAGCACCCATGGCAACAACTGCGGATGATGCACTTGTATCAGGACCGGGTGAATAGGGAATGGGATTGGAACACAGCAGTTTTGTTTTATGTATAAATGATATAATATAAAAGAAACATCATATATATATATATATATCTCTCTCTCTCTGTCTTCCCCACTCCCCCCATTTCGGAGATAGAAACAATCCACAATGAACAGCTAGATCTTTATAAAATCAATTGTTGAGGGTGCATTCACGCTTAAGTATCATGTTTGTTTAAGGAAACTGGCCTGTGATAGGCTTGCCTTTCAGCCGATCAAGCCAAGAAGGCAAAGGCTTCCCCTCAAAGTCCACACTTGGGTGATGTCCATCCAGAAGAGCCTGCAGGGGCACTCCAAGCTGATAATTGGAAACATATTTAGTTAGTTGCACACTGTAGTTACTCCATCTTTAGTGAACACGCCATATGTTGAAACTTTGAACTGTTGAACAGCCTTAAAGCTCCATACCAAAAGTGCATACACCCTGGTCAGGGAGTAGTCAGGAACCAACCGGCTCACCCTTAAAGCGAAGACGGGGAAGCGACACAAATCCAAGCCTCCACTGTTTGACTTAGCGGAAAAAATAATCATTTTATTGGGACAATCCTCAGTAGATTTTCTTAGGCCCAAGTATGCTGTTTAAAAAAAACATACAAAAATCTGATCAAGGTTCTCTTGGGTTCTTGGAGGATGGTATTGCAGTTTAGAATCACAAGTTTTTCCCCTGACTTGTTATACCTGCAGTCATCTCCATACAGGCCCATCGGAGCAGCTTTGACTGCAAACCCCGGATGGTCCCGCTTGTGCCAGCCATATTGAGTCGTGTGTCGCCAGTACTGCGATATCGAATCTTCATCTCGAACAAGTTTGCCACTTGCCTTGCATTGCAGTGCAGGCAGGTCCAGGGCTGGATTGTCCAACAAGATGTTTTTGGGGCTTTAGTTGAAACAACCCTTATGGGAGCATGAATATCAAGATAGGTTTGTAAATGACGCCCCCAAATTGCTTAGACCATTTTGTGAATGCTTAAAAATACGTAACTCTTGGGTTCTCCCTTTCGTGGACGGTATTTGGATATGACGTGTTACTGACCTGTAAACCACAGCACCAACACTAGGTTGTTCTGCTGCTAGGAGACATGCAAGTATTCGTAGAGCAAGTGCGGGCAGATCACTGGTAGTTTCTTCAGTTCGATATCTCTGCGGTTTTGTTCACATCTTACAGGGATTTCCAACCATAGAGATTGAATGGGAATTTCCAGAAGTGTACACAAGTCACGTTCGATGTTCCCCGGGTACTTGCCGTAGCAGCCAAGCCGGGCCATTCTTGTAGTGAGCTCACTAAGATGGCCATCATGAGCCTCCAGGGATCCCCAGAAAAGATTCCCTTTTTTATGACATTGTCCCCAAACCATTTCCCCAAACCACAAATGAATATTTCAACAGATTCCCAGAGGCTTTCCTTCCATGGCAGGACCTTCAATCCCATTTTGTATTCAATGCCTGGGCTTCTTGGACCGAGGCTTGTGCGGCACGCTGAAGCTCCGCGCATGAGGTGGCCTCGGCATGAGGCTCCAAGCTCCAGGGACGCATATTTCTTTGGCGGGACAGGTATGGTTTTATGTATATATATATATATCATATATATATTATATATATATGTGTGTGTGTTTACCAAAGAATTTGCAATATCCAGCGTCATAAACCCGGTATTATTAGATAATTATTGATGGTGAAGTTCATTGACACATATAATATTATATATATAATGACAATTGGCCACAAGAAAGATATCCCGACCCAACAGCCCAGTGATTAACATTAAGCAGAGACATATATCATAATGATTAGTGCATTTCCACCAAATACATCGCAATAGGTCAAAAACGACACTGAGTAGCTGTTTGACACCAGAAAAGTCGGAATTGCCTTGAATCATGAATCATTAAGCTAAGGGTTGACCCATGTTGACCCACATGTTCGGCCAAGACACACCGCGGCCAAGTGAAGAGATTAAGTAGTCAGCGTAGCTGTGGTCACCTGCGCCGGGACAGTGCTTCCTACTTATTTTTACGAAGCTGGGGGGGCTCTAAATCGGATGTGTTTTGGGGGGGCATTTCTGTTTTAACCAACAACCTTTGCCCAACGGATTCTCTGAATGGATAACGGGTCATCGGAATCGATTCGGTTGAAAGGAAATATAAAACAATTATTATCCCATATTTTTCCAATGTTGTTTTTGACATTGTTTTGATCACGAATTAGCATCACCCATTTCAACCAATTCTTTTTGGCAGGCTCAGCTAGCAACAACTCAGTGCCATGGAGGGATTCATTTCCCGCGGTTTTGCCACCACTGCTACGGATATAATATCACATTAGGACCTTCAACCACAAGAGCAAACATTATTTAAAAGCACACATTTTATAGCAGACAAACAAAACTACCTCAATTAATTTCTTTTTGGCGTTGTTGGCCCTAGTGTGCCCCAACGTTACATATAAACACATACCACTGCGGGCATGCACGTACTGAGCTGGCATATATGCTGTGACAGTGGTGTCTCCACACATGTCGCACTGACCATCGATAATCAAAGATTAATGGTCGGTGAATTTGGGACAACACCTGCCACGAGTACATAATTAATAGGATTGCAATGACGGGAGCACCCTTGCATTGCCACTGCCACATGACATGCGCTATGCCCACGGTGCAAGGTGAAAAAACTACGCAGGTTCTAGATTGACATGGCCTTGTGGCTAGCTAGCGCAAACGCAAGTGCCGGTCCAGATACAAAACTCTGACTGTGCAGAAGGTTTAGCACAAAGCATATGGAAAACTTTTAGGTTCGAAAGAGATAGAAAAAATCATGTGCAAATGTTTGTGAGCTGTCTAGAATGGAAAAACATCCGATCTCCCAGCTACACAGTCACTGCAGCAAATCTACTGTAGATATCTAAGCCGCTGCCTTTGCCTTTGGCTTAGGCTGTGAGCAGTTCTTTCGGACCTGCAAACTTGCTGTGTGGTACGCCTTGTTGGCATCGCTCAATGCTACTGTGGCATCACTTAGTGCCTCCCCTTTGCTCAAAGCACTCTCAAGGGCGCTCTTTGCATCCCGTAACTTGTTTGCCTCTTCCTCCATTTGCCCAACAAATGCAGCTGCCACTGCCTGCGCCCTCGGATACACACACACACACACACCACACTCAAGGATACGTGTGCCTTTAAGTATGTAACAATAAGTTGTATATAATAATACATGCAGTACTGAGATGGATCTGTGTCAGCATTGGGCGGGCATATTACGTTGATAAATAAAATTGGTGAAATAAGAGTGGTTTCCCCTCCCTACAAGTTTGTCTGCCTAATTCTGGGGACACTAGTATGTGTCCTCGTTAACAAATGCACTATATGACCTCGATGGTTCTGAAGTGGAAATTTGGAGTTGGTGGAATGTATTGTTCGCTATTATTTGTACTGCACGTACTGTTGCGGAAAGCTTGAATGACATTTTTATATTTCCCAACTAAAGTAAAGGAAATTAAACAAACTCATGTGCACATGCTGGGTTGCACCAAAATGCTCAGTATATTCAAATACATACGCCCATAGAGATTATGTTTTTGGGTCTCCCAGGGTCAGGCAGGCACGAGTTGTGGATAAGCTTTACATCATGATTAATCCCAGGGAATGAAACTAATGTCTCTGGCAAGCCTGCGATTCTACGTATAAATATAAATATAATTGGTAAACATGAATAATTATCAGATATTCTTTTTTATGTCAAAAAAACATCCACAGTATCTCGGTGCTGGCGGTTGCATGTGGTTCGATACAAAGTAACCTAGTAAAACCCCCGACGCTAAGCCAAGCCACATTCCTGCAGACTCAAGTTTGTACCTCCACTGGGAAATTTCCAGAAGGTTCGAATTGGCCTTGACCACAGCCTTGGTTTTTTCAATGTTTGTGTGTGTGTGTGTCTGTGTATGTGTGTGTGTGTGCACAGGGTATGTCTATGATGATATTCTGTTCCATAGCATTTTTTTTAACAATATGCATATATATATATATATACACAATATAAGTTTGAATCGACATGTAGGTGTCTTTCTAGACTGATAAGACCCAAAACATACATATGTGCTTAAGGAAAGCAGGAATGCACATCCTGACTGTAAGGACAGGGAACTGCGCGTGCAAGTTGTTCGTCGGTCTTTGTCTTGGGACCTGTACTGGGTTTGGGCTTTGGCTTTGGCCTACCGTTTTTACCATTGCCCTTTCCACCATCAGCATCTTCACGAGCAGCAGCGACAGCTGCTTGCGAGTGATCCCCTTCAGCTTCACGCACGGTTTCGATACCTTTCTGATTAGTTTCTTCCTTCTTGTCGTAGGATTCCACCCATGAATGGTACAAGGTCATATCCTGCGTCAACATCTAAAAGGGTGATCTCTTAAACGAATTGACAAACATTAAATATATATATATATGTGTGTGTGTGCGTGTGGTTCACAGAAGGGGCCCTTTGTTCGTCCAACACCCTTTCCAAAAGAAAAATAAAAACCACATATTTATTGGTTACCCGTCCTCCCTGTCAGGAAATTCTGGATGTTTTCGAGTCTTGCCTTGTTGGACCTGCCAGGCAAAACAGGGTATTCAGATGTCTAAAGGCAAAACCCTAACTTTATATGCCATCTCAATCCCATTACTTGCAAGTTTTGTTCAAGAACTCTCTCTCTCTCTATATCATATATATATAGGGTATAAATATATATATATATATATATATATGTACAGATATATGCGTGTCTCTCTCTCTCTATATATATACCTCTTGATAAATATTAAAATATTTTTAAAATATATATATATATATATATATATATATATATATCATGATCCCGAGCCTTCCGCCGGATCAGATCGTCGACCAAGTTGACGTCATTGTTGTATTTCACCATCAAATCCTTACTGAACATGAGAATATGGGACATCAGGGTAATCTTGCATCGACATTCATCCCAAAAGAAAACAACTTGAGTATGCCAAAGAAAACATACTACAATCAATACAATATCGAGATTCGGCTTTGGTCAAGTAACCATTTGTGTCCCCTTCGGTGGAGGTTGAGGTCTGGGATTCACGAACGATCAACGTTGATGTCCACCAGTCCTCATTGGAGTTCAAATATTCTCGGTACAACTGCTTCATTGCCTGGCCACTTGGATCCTGGGCAGATGCCGAGGTTGTGACAACCAAATAATATAATAAACAACCAGCTGGGGCAGCACTCAAATACACACACACACAAAAAAAAAAATCACCACACTAGGCACCAGCAAGACCAGCTGAACACCACCCAGAAAAAGGCAAAAAGGAACCCTGCCTCCCCCCGTTTTTTGGAAATATATATCTACCTGTCTATCTATATCTGTTTAAAAGGATCTTTAAAACTTGGACTGGGCAAGCCAAGCGGCCGCTTGTGCTTGGCGAAACTTCAAAGCAATCTCAGGGGGGGCTTTCTTTGACTGTGATCTCCTGGTGAATCGCCCCCAGCGCGCGCGTTCCTCTTTCACAGAATCTTCGGTTTCTCGGGCTGCTGTCTGTGCTGGTGCTGGGGGTTGCATCGGGGGTGCTTTTGCAACAGGTGTGCCATTGCCTGCTGATGCCGGTGCTGGAGTTGTGGTGTCAGGTTCAGTCGGTGGGATGTCAGGGGGCGGTGAGGTTGCTGTCAAAGGTGTGCCCAAAGTTGCAACTTCACGGATTGGGGTGGCTGCAGCTGTGTTTCCATCTAGGGGTGGGCTTTCTGCGAGAGATGGGGCTGGGGCTGCTGGTTCGGGTGATGCGCTCACAACTGCATGAGGTGGTGCGGGACCCTCAGGTGTGCTGCTTGGTACCGGTGATGGATGCTCTGCTGCTGCTGGCATCGCACTCTCAGCTGGTCCGGTTGCAACTGCATCCCCACCTTCACTTGTGTTCACAGGTTGTGGAGAAGGTGTGTCCAAAACTACAACAACGCTGGGCGATGAGGCAGTTGGCAAGGGCGGTGCTGGTGAAACTGCTTGCTGGGGCACTCTTTTAAATTTAGACCAAAAGTTCTTCAACTGCTCAGGTGTACCAACATCGCTAGCTGTCGTGCTGGCCCCAATATCCCCTGTGGTGTGTGCTGGTTCAAGCGCTGGAGTTGGTCGGGCCGGCATGGGTGCTGCTGGTGTTGTAGGTGGTGTGGGTGGTGCTGGCTCCGTTGGGATTGGAGTGTGTGTTGTTGCAGGTGAAGGGGCGGGGTGGGCATACGGAATAGTTTCAGTGGGAATGGAGTCTGGACCTGCTGCACACTCTGCTGGCCGGGGGGCTGGACTGGGGCTCAACATACCAAGTGAAAGATCATCGGTGGACTGCCTCTTCATGCATGCTATCCATGCTGGTGTGTTTTCAAGGGGTGCAATGTTTTCATCATCATCTCCCAAGCTGTCTGCCAGTGTAGCTTGCGGTTCATGAGTGGGGGGTGGCATCGCTGCATGCTGGGGGGTCGCCTGGGATTGCAGCATGGTCACATCGATATTACGCGGAACTTCCTGGGATGTGCCCATTTAAAGCAAATGAATTTTGAGGGAAACCAGCTTTGGAGTTAAAGATGTAAATGCCCAAGAAGAAACACAAACTGTTGCAAGTACGTTCAAATCAAAAATGTGACGTATAATTGCCCACAACTAAAAGCGGACGCTACAGCCACATGCACAGAAGCTGCAGATCCGTCTGCAGTCGCCTTACCTGACAGGGATACGGATTCCATAAAGTAAAAAATATAGGGAAAATAACGTTTAAGTACATAATCCAACAACACATATTTGGGGCAGACTTTGATCATACACAGTGCTGGCACCTAGTGAAGGAACATGTAGCTTTCCTCAAAATACGCACGCACACACACAACCCTCGAATTATTTACGCCTAGCTGGAACAAAAACAACCCCTTGATATAAGATGTTGAATCACTACACGTGTTGATATGTGAAAACCTTATTGCCCACCAGGGATGCCTTCAGCACCAGAAAAAACTCAAAGCCCGCGGTGTCACATGCCCTTCGCAATGCTTCTTGACAGTCTCGGGTGTAACTTGTGTGGAAGGGGTCATAAGAACTTCACTCCGGTCCCTTTTGGCAAGGACTTGAGATGTAGGCCCAGCACCAACCCCAACCACTGACTGCACAAGTTTTTTCCGACGTTCTCCTTGAGCTATCGCCTCTTGGGCAGCCTGCAGGCGTGTAGCATGGTGATAGTGATACCCATAGGATCAGTGTATTCTATATGCGGTAACATTTACCATCAATATACCCGCCCCCAATGTTAGCATAGATACCATACATGGATATATGGGATAGGGCACTGTGGTGCATTCAAAGACGGCAAATGCAACACATATCAAGCTGCGTATGTATATATAAATATATATGTATATGTCATATATATAGTATATACATATATATATATATTTATTTAATGATACACAAACTTTTGCACATATATAATATATAGATGTCTATACAGGTATGCGTGCTTCTTGACAGTGCCTGTGCACATGCAGGCTTATTACATCGATGCACTTTACGCGGCTTGCCTAAAAACTATATTATTTTCTTTGTTAATATATAATATTAATATACATCTAATGGTTCCATATGTAAATCAATAGGCCTGGTGTTGGCAATATACGGAAAAGCCCCTGACCATGTATCACCATCTTGGCCCATGCCACGTCAGGCCTTCACCAAATCGGCTTCAGACAGCATGAGGACACTGTGGGGGGGCCGTGGCTGTGTGCCACAACTGTCAAGGAGCAAAAAATGCTTCTGGGATCTATCAAGCTACCAGGGTCATAAATCTAACCAAGTTCGACATTCATGAAAATTTGGGGAAGCCAATCCAAAGAAATCCGACAAATTGGGGTACATTTTGGCTTGTAGGGAAAATCCGGGGAATCCTCTCGAAATCTAGGCAATCACGATTTGTCACGATTTGTCACGCTTTTTCCGACAAATGTTATAATTTTAAAAGGGAAAGTTTTAATTGCGTCACGATTTGTCACGATTTGTCACGATTTTGTTTTTTTCGATATTCCCGGTGAAAAGCCATCCGGTTGCTCCCACCACGCAATTTTTGCCTCCTTTTTGGAGATTCAACTGTTCGGGATACTATATTCAAGTGCCACATCATGGCAATGCAGCTTGGGATACTATTGAAATGCCACATCATGGCAACGCAGCTTGGAAAAGTTTGAGGACCATCCGTTTGAAAATCATAATTGTATATCTACAATGGTGACGGCTAAGGTAACCTCAGAATAATGGAGCTATAGTGACCCAAAAATATACGGTGTCCACAAACAGCAAACTCAACACGCTAGTGCCACACAATATTGGTGCATGGTCCAGATATGTTCATACCTGGGACTTGCTTATCATGTTAATTTACCAAGAATTTCAATGCAAAACTACACCCCGCAGCTCACCTGCAGGATAAGATTACGAATTAAAGTTTCAGGCCGGGCTGGGGAGTGAAGCGCCCCAAAGCTTTCTGGTGAAGCAAAAAATCACGTAGCTGGGGCAAATTGGCATGGATCCAGTGAAGTGGCTGGTCCTTAGGATTGTGGTTGGTGCTGCATTGGGTCTTTTGGGGTAGGCATTTATTTTTCTGTTAGCATATCTTATCGTTGCAACTCAGGTACACACATATCTAAGTGTATATATGTCTATATAGATAAAGCAAATTCTACATATGGAAATGTTTCACATGTACACTTGTAATTTTCTCGTTGGCTTGCCCAAAAAGCCTAAAAACACCCAAAAAGGAACCCCCCCCCGGGGGGGGGGGGGGGGGGGGGGTTCCTTTTTGGCACTTTTTCTTTACGGGGGTCTTCTTTAGGGGATGGCAAGCCAACGGGATAATTGCTATTTCACCCTGAGGTTCCCTTTTTTGGCTCCTGAAAGGTTACTTTAAATGGGGAAAAGGGCACCTTATTTGAGACATCCCAGAATATCATAAAAGTTATTCTCTTACTGTACGGGCTTACTCAGTGGCTTTCCTTTTATGGGTATAAAATGGAGACCCCCTGCGAAGGCGAACCCAACCCAAAAAAACAATTAAAAAGTTTAGGCGCTTACTGACTTTGTGGGTGCCCTCCAAGATAAACGTAATGTTAAGATCTGATATATTATGGCTGAATAAGTTCTCACATCAAAAAATAGGATATGTTTTCGTCTGTGTCAATGCATGGGTCTCCACAAAATATTTTGGTTGGGCTCATAAACTTTTAAAATACAGCTATATTAAGCTGGAACTAATTAGGTTTTAACAGTCTTTTTTCAAATGGAGGTACCAACTACAGGGACCCCCCCCAAAGCTGAACATGCCTACCCCATGAGGAATGGTCAGTGTGA